ACCTCCCCTATCAGTGGACTTGGGGAGGGGCATGCGTGCAGAAAGGGGGGGAGGGTGGGACCGGGAGGGGAGGAGGGAGGGGCTTATGAGGGGATACAAAATGAATAAAGTGTAATTAATAAAAGTTAAATAAAAAATTAAAAAAAAAACAAAAAAACCAAACAACAACAACAAAAAAGAGAGAATAGGGGACACACACCTCCCCCCCCCCCCCCCCGTCTAAGAGCCTTCTTTTGGGAAACCTTCACGAACACAGCTCCATCTCTACCTTGGCGCTGGAGGATGCTGTCTGCTGACTGATGCTGGTGAGAAAGCCCTGCGGACTGCTTTGGGATCCTGGAATATCTGTCTGCTTCCCTAGATGTCTCCAGCATCTATATCCTTCCTCTCCCCTTTCTGCCACAGGGCTTAAATTGGTAACTCTTCAACCACAACACAAATAAGATGAAATAGAAAGGAAAGTGTAAATGAGGAAATGGAAAGATTTGCTCTATCAGAATGCTCACTGTGGCGTAGCAGAATGGTGGTGAGGTAATTTATGGGAATCCCTTTGGGCTTTGTTAGTGCTTGTTCTGGCCTGAGTTATTGAATGCCCCCTAAGTGCATGCATATGAACATTTGATTCCCAGCTGGTGGCACTGCTCTGGGAAGTTGTGAAGCCTTTGAGACCTGTGACACAGGCCCTGGACTAGCCCTTTGAAGCCTGTAGCCCAATCCCGCTTCCGGTCCCAATCTCTCTGCTTCTAGATCTATTAAGATGTAAACATTTGGTGCCACAAGATCCAGGTTCCACCACCATGCTGTCCCTGCCATGCGGACCCTTCTTTACTTACTCCCGGGCTGGGATCACAGGCCTCTGCCATCACAGCTGGCTGAAGGACGTCTCCTGATGCTTCCGTTTCTCCGGGTTACTTCACTTCCTCTCACTCAATACATTTGGGATAATAATTAATAGTAATTATCATTACTTACTGAGCACAAACTATGTTCTGGACACTGCTTAAAGCACTGCATTCTCATTAGCTCATGAACTCCTCCTAAAGTCCCAGGAGAGTGATATGGGGGCCCATTTTACAGGAGAAAAAAATTGGGGCACAAACAAGTAATTTCTACCAGCCCGGAGCTATCTGCGGATAGAGCCTGGGAGTAAGCACAAGGAGGACATGGTAGGGTCAGCGTGATGGTTGAAGCTGTGTCTCTTCACAGCACTTGTTCACATTTTGACAGATTAGGAAAGAGAGAACCAACTTTTGCAAACTGTCCTCTGTCATCCACACACATGCACATAGATATAAACAAACAAACAAAATAAAGGAGAGAGAACAGGTGTTCAGGTGTGACACAGGTTCATAAGCAGATGCCCCTTCCTTAATGCTTGTCTCCCCTAACACTACCCGAAGTTGACAAGGAGGGCTCAGTCCATCAGAGATCCCAACAGAAGCTTCTCCATTCTCTTCTTTCCTCCAGGAGAGGCTGAAGCACTCACGGAGGGCCGAGGAAGAGAAAATGATAATGTGAACCTGCCCCCAAATATCATGAGTTGCATTTTATATTTCAATGACCAGGTACCTGCTCTTGGTTCTGTCATCCACTGAGTGTTCTTTAGTGTTGCTCAAAGCCAGACCTGCTTCAAGACATCTGGGGAGCATTGTCCCTAAAAAGGGAGCCATACCTTAGGTTGGGCTTTGTCACTGCTTTGACTTCCCCAGTCTCTCTGACTTCACCTGGATCCCTGGGCCAACAGCTAAGTTTTCTGTTGATCTGTGTCTGATGACTGTATTCTGTGTGGTTTGGTTTCGGTTTTTGGTTTTCTGAAACTGGACATTCATTGGAGTCTTATTTTCCTTTTTGTTTTCCCTTGGGGAATCAAACCAGGCTATTTTTGTTCACAAGAAAGTGAAGCAGTAAAGAAAAGAAAAGCATGAGCTTGGACACCCTTCCTTGCTTGTGCTGGGACCCCAGTGGCGTGTTTCCACTTTTTCCAAGTACTTAGCTACTCAGATCAGGGTTTTAAGGGGGTGTGCATGCTGCAGTATCCTTTTAGCAGCAGAAGGGAGAGCCTCAGAGATTAGCGATTCAAATCCCCACCTTATGGATGGGGAAAATGAAGCTCATGTGGGAATGTTGCACAGGACTATTACAAGCCAAAGTGCCACCATCTTTATGACTTCAGTTGTCCCTGCTTGCAAAAGATCATCACAGCTTTTTGACTATTGATGGGGAGGGGTGAGGGGGGCACGGGATCCTCACCCAAGTACCCAGCCAACCCTCCTAACCAGTTGTAGTCAATTCTGCTCTGATTACGTGTAGCTTCAGGGGTAGGTTAGAAGTATACGGGTGGGAAGAACTAGGGATGAGGTCATATCTCTGTAGCATGGAGGAGTCATCATCCTTGCTGGAGGCAAACCGGTATGGCTACTTTAAGGCCATACTTCTGTCCACTCCCTCCCTCCCCCTGTAAGCAAGACTAATGAACTCATTGGTTTTCTAGAGTGAGCTCTGCTGGAATCCTACCTTGATTTGTGTTTAGGACCTGTGGAGGAGGGATAGACATTGTTTGCTTCCCCTGCAGGGAAGACATTTTAACGACTGGGAGAAAGGTAAGAAATGAAAGGAGGAAGTTCACTAGAGTGTGTGATGAGGAGAGCTGAGGTAAGTGGGGAACCATAACACGATGGTACTTGAATGCCTAGCCTCGGAGCCTGGTCTCTTCTTGGAGGCGGTGAAGGTCTAGGTAGGGAGTGTTAGAGAGATGAAGGTTCTGTGGATGAGGGGCTGTGGGATGTGACTAGGCCAGGGACCAGGATGTCGGGAAGTAAGAAAGGGGGAAGGAGATAAAAATACTTGTTGGGAGGGACTAGAGGAGCTGCTGGATTTTGGGGGGGAGGTAGAGAACAAGTTGGGTAGATGAGTACACTTAAGGGTCTTTGCAAAGGAAACTGGATGTGTGGGAATGAAGTCAGGGGATGGATGGTGCTGAAGCAGCAGCTTAGATGTCGGGACGAGGGCCTGGTGAGCAAGGAGGGCAGGGCCGAGGAACTGACTAGGACATTAGGGGGACCCGGCCTGAGGGTTTGGGCCTGGGCATGTGATGACTTGGCATGTGATGCTCTGGTCCTAGTGAGGTTCTACCATAGCACACTCTATTCTCTGAAGCATCAGCTACCAAAGGGGAAGCCAGATGGCTGAGGAATGGACCCTAGGCTTTCCAGGGTCCTCTCCACTTTCACAGTGTCAAGACTCCTAGAAGAAGCTAGCATTGAGTGTGCAAAGCTTACTGTTAAGTGCATAACAAGAAAAAGAACCTTCTTGACCAACATGGCCAACGGCCCATTGCATTCTGGAAGCATGCACTCAGTGGTCCTGCAGCGTTTTTAACTTCTGAGGCTCCATTTCTTACGTGATGACAAGTTCCACCCTGACTGTATTTATTTCAGACTTTTCCAAGTTCTCATAATTAGTTTCTCGGCCATTAAGCTGGACCTCAGCAGGAATGCATTAATGTGCTTATTTATATCTCATTGGCACATACATTCTCGAGTAAGTAAAGTCTATGGTCCCCCAAAGTATCAGCGTGGAAACTTGAACTGACTCATCTATTTCTCAGGCTGTCTTGGTGAAGGTCAGCCCCAAAGTAAGTTGCCTCCCTGTTACTTCCCAGCATATGGTTCTTTTATCATTTGGATTTTAGTGGATCAGGACCGTAGAGATAAAGCGATGGAATTGGTCTGTGAGAGGAGATGAGGCAGTGAAGAAGGTTTTCCAGGCTGAGGGGTTCCACATGGCCTGATCCCTGTGAGGGACTCTGCTCTGTAGCTAACACAGGATAGAAGTTGATGACTTTCAGAGCAAGGGTTCTAAACATGGAGAGTATGCAGTTGAGAAAAATAATTATTGGCAATCTGTTGGAGGTTGGTGGTGGGAGGAGGAGCAAGGGGGCAACAGTCTGAGTGTAAGCAGCCACACCCACACCCTCACTTAAGAGCCAGCGCTGACCAGTCCCATCATTTCAGAGCCCAGTGCAAAAGTTAAAAGGTGGTGTATATAGTTAAACAAATGAAGCACAATGGAATAATACTTGGCTGTATAAAAAAGTAAAGCACTAGTGTGTGCTATGTTGTGGGGTAAATCTCAGAAACATCATACTGGGTTGTGGAGAGGGCTCGGCAGGTAAAGGAACTTACTTCCAAAGTTGGTAACTTGAGTTAAAACCACACGGTTGAAGGAGAAAACTGACCTCTGAAAGTCGTCCTTTAACCCTACAAAAATACAACAAATGCATGTAAATAATAGCACCTCCAATCATACTAAGTGCTAGAAAGAAGTTTCAAAAGGTTATATACTTTACGACCCACTAATGAGAAACATCCAGAATTGCAACCCAGAGAGAAAAGGCAGCTGAGTGATTGTGGGAGAATTTAGGGCAGGGAAATGGAGAACAATAATTTGAAGGGCGTGAAGTTTTCTTTCTTTTTCTTTTTTGGCAGTTTTTGTGGTTTTATTTTAAACACAAATACGACACGGACACAAGCCATCTACTCATTTTCTTCGCCAGGCAGCCTGGCGTTGGGATTGGTGACTCTGATGGCCAGCTGTGCCACTCTTGGTTCTTGGAGGACACATTGTGAGCAATCTCAGCAGAGTGAGATTTGTTGCATGTGAGCAGCACTTCCAGCCCCTTGACACTGTGGACCAGAAACTTCCGGGAGCTGCTGGGCAGCATGTGCTTGGTTTCCTTGTTGCTCCCATAACCAATGCTAGGCATCAGGGTCTGACCCTTGAATATTCCCTGAACCGTGTTGTTGATACCTCTGGGTTTCCACCAGTTTTGCTTAATTTTGACATATCGGTCTGACCGGTGCCTTGTAAACTTCTTGGTCCTCTTTTTAACTATTTTGGGCTTTACCACAGGCTGGAGGGCAGCCATGTTGCCTATTTATAAAGTCAGATCCATGTTATCCAAGAACCTGGGAGGGGAGGCTGGTTGTCTAAGGCCGGAGCTGTGTTATAGAGTATCTTCCATTCACCAGCTGCTGAGCAAACTGGGAACGGAATGGGTACCTCAGCAGGCATGTTCTCCATCCTGCTTCTGAAGCTGGCAGAATACTAGCCACTCTCGACACGCCATCTCAAGAAGTCGAAGTTTTCTTTTAGGGTGATAAAGTGGTTCAGAAATCAACAAAAATGAGGGCTAGAGAGATGGTCCAGTGGTCAAGAGCGTTTATTGCTCTCGAAGAACACTTTGATTCCCAGCACCCACGTTGGGTAGCTCCCAGCCACCTGTAACTCCGGTTCCAGGGAGATCTGATGTCTCCAGCCTCCAAAGACACCTGTATTCATATGCACATACCTATAAACAGGCACAGGCACACATACATGTAATTTAAAATAAACAAAACCTTTTAAGGCAAATGGAAAAAAAAAGAGACCAACAAAACCAATTGTCATTGAAGATGTCACAGAGATCTAGTACTATATATGCTAACTAAAAAGCTTAAAAACAAAAGCAAAAAGAACTAGCTACTGGGGACAGATGACACATATGCCCTACATGCCACTCAGCTGTTTATTTTAAAAGGGTCTTTCCTGCCAGGGGAGATGCCACAACCATAAAGACGGTGTTCCCACATTTTGAGTGTGATATCTCTGAATGTGCTGACCCCTGAGATTCCCCCAAATTAGGAAACTAGATGGCATAACTTGTGGTAGTGGGCGACTACACTCATGATTTCTCTTGTACGTATTTTATTTTTTGTTCAATATATATATATAATATAATATATTGTTAATTATATTTACATATAATTAAATATATATTTTAATGGCCATATTTGTTCAGTAAATTTTGCTTTAGTAAAATAAAATATGTGCAGTATATTAAATATTGTTAATTATTTCGAGATGTCAGCACAAGGGGACACCAAGCCCAGTAGGGCCTTTCTACGTGTAGAGTCCCATGAGAGTAGTCAGGAATTTGGTTCTGGAGCCATCAAGGCTCTGAGAAACTCAGACTGGGGCAGCATAACATAGAGGGACAAGGTCCCTGCAAGCTGACAGTGTGTTTCTGGTGAATGCTGGTGGACTGGGCCCTGAGTTCTGAAAGCCCCAGAAGACCTGAGGGAGGCTTCAGAGACTGTCAGCCCCAACCAGACAGGGCCCATTTCCCATTGGCCACCTGATGGAGAGGGGTCTTATCCAAGGTCATGAGCACACTAGCTTAAATATCTGTGCCCCCACTAGACCACCGGCCCCACTCATATCTCCTCTCCAGCCCCCTTTCCAGGTCCTGTCAGTCACCCTGTGTCTCATTCCCTCTGCTTTTGAAGTTCCACCTTTGCAGAGCTCTCTGCATCGCGTGCCCCCAGCCTCTTTGCCAGCAATAGGTCAAGTCTATGGACTCATTCTCACCCAGCTCTGGTATGTGCTAATTATTTACACTTGTTCACAAAGGCAGAGGCCAGCTGGTTGAGGGAGGGCCTTGTCATCTCTAGCTTTAAGGCTCCATAAGAGATTGTGATGGCCCCAAAATCTGAGTCAGTGTAAAGGACTCTGCCCTCTGGGTTCACCTAGTTGCTTCAGCCTGAGGCAATGCCAGTGCTGACACCATGCGAGCTCACGGGGATGAGACTGCTTGGCCTCCAGCACACAGTCTGTGAGCAGATGTTTTAGAAGGGTCGCCCCGTGCAGGCTGCTCCAGCTGTTCCCACTGTACTTCCAGTGTTCTTCCAGCATGGGGCTGGGCGCAGTTAGCCCGGGGTAAGACTTCCACTGAGAACAGCTCCAGTCCCACAGCCTGCCTCCCAGGTCACCAGTGGGCATTGCTCCCATGGTGGCTCCTGCTTGGCTCTGCTGCTTTTAGGGAGGCCTTTGCCGGGCTGCTGGGACCTGCTGTGTTTGCCCTGTGAGCAGGCCACCTAGTGGGGGTTTGTGGGGCCAGATCACAGGTCCTCATTTTATCCTAACCTGCTGTCTGTTATCAGGGAGTGTTCTGGGCTTTTCCTTGGCACTGTTGTCTTCACTTCTCAAGGCGCAGTAGGAGGGTAGGTAGGCTGAGAGAGAACGAGGCAGAAATGGACACCTAGGAACCCCTGCTGGGCTTGTTGGGCCACTGCCAGATGCCAGCAGTTTGTTATCACCATTATTCTTTGACTTTTTCCCTGTTTTCATTAGCGCATATTCATTGTACATGGTATTGGGACACATAAGGACATTTTCATTCAACTATGCAATGTACTTTGAGAATGCCTCTGTTTAACCTGCCCTTCCTTTTCTTATCACCCCCTTCCTGTTAATCCTCCTTTAGTTTGCGTCTCCTTTCACATTACTGTTAGTTTTTCACATTAGCCTCATAAGGAAAGAAATGCTCCTATTTGCGGATGATTGACCCTTACAGGGGGTCATCAGTTGGGCCAAGTTTGCAGTTCTAACGTTGCTGGCCAGGAAGTGAATCATGGTTTTCTGAGTTTTGTTTCAGTTTTTGAACATTGCTGTGACAAATATCTTCAAACCATACGGCTTCAAAACAAACAAAGAAACCCCTAAATTTTATTTATTCTGCAGCTCTAGAAGTTAGAAGTCTGAGGTGGGCCTCACTGGCTAAGATCATGGGGTGGGCAGGACGTACTCCTTAGAGCCTTCAGGGCAGAATCTACTTCCTGGCCTCGTGTAGCTTGTAAGGGCTGCTTGCGGTCCTCGGTTTGTGGCTAAGTCCTCCCTATGCCTTCATCTCTCTGGTTCTCTGACCACAACCAAGAAAGGACTAAGACCAGACCATCCAGACAAACCAGGGTGATCTCCTCCCATCTCAGAGTCCTGGGCATGAATTACGTCGTCAAAGTTCCTGTTGCCACACAGGGATGCCTAGGCAGTTGCAGGTGCTGGGGTTAGAAAATGCCCCCCCTCCCCGTGTGTGTGTGTGTGTGTGTGTGTGTGTGTGTGTGCGCACTCGTGTGCATGCATGCACGTGATTCCTTGATTCGTGCTAGTGACTCAGACATTTTGGATGAGCACAACAAAATCCAAGGCAGAATTACATGTTGTTAACCACCGTCCTTTCAATTCATCTCGTCCTGGAAGCGAGGCTGGCATTAACAGGGGATTGGGTGACCATGGGGCAGGCTTGAAGCTAAATTATCCAGTCCAACCTTCCAATTAGTCCATCAGAGCATTTGCAATGTAAATGCAGATGTCTCCTCCAGGCACCCAGTGGTCTTCTGGCTCCATAAAGTGGGTCTCTGATTGCAGCTGTTTTCAGTATTTAGCTAGTCTTGGTAGGCATCTTGCTCCAGGGATCCCCCTAGTACTTCAGAAGTTCCAGGATTATGGATGGGCCCCTATGCTTTCCCGGCATTTATGTGAGTGTGGGAGAGCTGAACTCAGGTCCTCACAAGTGTGTGGCAAGTGCTTTATGCACAGAACCATCCCTACTTCTTTAGGCACCTCGCAGAAGTCTTTTTCTGTTTTAGATTCTTTACTTGCTTTTGTTCTTGATGTAGGGTCCCTCTACATAGCCCCAGCTGGCCTTGAAATTACAGTGTAGCCCATCCTGGCTTCCAATTTTCATATTCTTCTGCCTTTGCTTCCTGAGTTCTGGGATTATTCGTATGAGGCACCACACCCAGCTAAAAGTCTTTCATCTTTCCTTACTCCCATGTGGGGCTTGCCTAGCATATTGGAAAATACATTTCAGAATGGGGCCTGCCCAGACTCAGTTAAGCCCTTCATGTGTCAGAAATCCACAACTTCTCAGACTCCAAAAGGTAAATGTGTCTGGATATGGGATTTTTTTAAAAAATTAAATTCGTAAAAATTAAACTATAATTATATCACTCTCTTCTCCCCTGTCCTCCCTCCAACCCTTTCCATATCTGGCTCTTCCCATGTCCCCCCTCAAATTGGTATCCTTTTTTTTATTATTATTGCCACACATACACATATACACAATCTGCTGAGTATGTTTAATATGGTTTGTATGTATTGATTTCAGTGCTGACCGCTTAGGATAACCAGTTAGGTGGATCATCCTTGGAAGAGGCTAATTTCCTTCTCTCAGAAGTCACTGGATGCCTGAAATTCTTTGCCTAAAGGTGGGACCCTGTGACATTTCCCCCTTTCATGCTAGCAAGTCTATTGATGCTAACATTGTCCAGGTCTTGTTTAGGCAGCCATGCTGAGAAGACTTCATGGGTGTAGCTTCATTGACATTCTGAGGATAGGACAGTATCACTGTAGACTTCCTTGTCCTCCAGCTCTTACAGTCTTTCTGCTTCCTCTTCTGAGATGTTCCCTGAGCCATCGATTTAAGAGTTTTGTTGTAGATGCATCCACTGAGGCTGGGTTCCCCTTGATCCACTGATCTCTGCATTACGGCCTGTTGTGGTTGTCTGTAATCATCTCCTTTTGATGTAAAGAAGCTTCTTGGATAAGAGGTGAGAGCCGCACTTATGGAGATGGGACTTAAAGTAAACATGAGCGGTTCTACTGCAATGTGTCTGGCGTCAGGACACAGGAAGACTGTGCGTGGGTGCAGCAGAAAGGTGACTGCCCACGAGCTGAGGACACAGGACTCATAAAAAAACCACCTGCTAGCTCTAGGACCTTGTTCTTCCAGTGCCAGAGTCCCAAGAACATGACACTTCCCTGAAGCTACTGAGTCTGTGGCTGGTCCTGACACCAGGTCTGTCCCAGGTGGCCATCCCTCTTTCATAGGGGGAGTTACTCTATGTCACTGTGCACTTAGTAGCTAAATATACAGAAGGTACCCACAAAGCAGAACAGCAACTAGAATCAAGTTCCCAGCAGGCTGCCCACGGGGCAACTCATGTCAGATGTTTGACAGCATCCTAACTCTTCCAGGAAGGTGGGTCCTGTTTGTGGTGTCTCTTTGCTTGATTCCCTTAACCCTATCTGGACTGTAGGTTTGTGTGCCTTCAGCCTTCTTCTAGTTTGTGTGTGTGTGTGTGGTAGATGCATGCAGACAATTTAGAATAGGCTCTGCCCTTGAGTACTTCTACAGGCTGGCATCCGTTAGGAAACAAGGGCTTCTGAGTCAGCCATGTTTGGGCTTGACTCAGGATAAGGCCCAACTCCCAGAATACAGTTGGAAAGGGCAGCCATGGTGGGCTTTGATGTCTTCAGGT